AACGAAGGGACCGAGCCAAGGGCCCAAGTCCTAGGCGCAACGTGGGACCAGGGGCCCCGGCCTGGGCCCTAGGTTGAAGCGCCTTGTAATAGTTTAGAAATCAAAACTTAATAGAAATGGTTCGGGCATAACCAGATTTTTTTACGCTCGCTTCGCTCGCGTTGTTTATTGTACTACAAAAGCACTATGCACCTAAATCGCATCCGAAGGAAACCTGCCCACTTGGTACTTTTACAGTGTTTTTGGTACCCGTAAGCGCTTCTTAGCGCCCTTATACTATTCAAAAATTTTCGCGCTCGCTCCGCTCGCGAAATTTTCCTACAAGTGGCTGGTACAGTTAGTACGGCGACATGCTGGAAAATCAAATATTTAAGTAAAACAGGTCAGACATGTACAACTTGGTGTGCTTTATTACGTATAGTTTGCCCCTGAAAGGTAGGCAAAACCGGGCCCCCCTTCCAGATTTCCCACCCGGGCCCCTGACCACCCAGTCCGCCCCTGGCGACGGCCGTTTGCCGTTGATTTCGGACATGAGGAGGAGGAGCCAGGAGCAGCGCGCTCGCCCAGGGTGGTCCGGCGGCTGCACTGCGCTGTCCTGGGCGGGGCGGGGCAGGGCCGGGCGGTCACGCCTTGTTACAGCGCCGTGTCCAACGCAAACAGAACAAGGACCTCCCATCCCCCCATGACCCCTCCCCCGTTCCCTTCTTCCTCTGCTCGTAGTAGTAGACAACAGTTTCGGGATGCCCTTTTTCATTTCCCGCTAATGGTCTCGTTATAATTAAACGCTGCGACGACGACGTTGCTGCTCGATTCGTCATCGCGAGCGGCCGCCACCGCCATGCCCAGCCTTTACATAATATCGCCGTGTAAAGTTTAATTACAGGAATTTCACGCGTGAATTTTGTCGAAGCTGCGCTCGGCTGGGTGCCGACGGGGGGCGTGGGGCGGCCGGTGGAAATTTATAGGTGGGGTTCGCCGCGATTCGCGATTCCTCGTCTGTGTGCCTCTTCTCTCCCCCTCTCTCCATTACGCCCGCTCTGTCCCTCTCGGGGAACGCGCGCCACGCGTGACTGAAAATGTTCCCTCGCGCACTTCGTGCGCTTAGGTCTTTGCGTTATTGTCGCGTCTTTCCCCGCTTTTCTCTCTCTCACGGCGGCGTGGTCGTGGCGGCGGCGGTGCCGTCGCCGTCATGCGCCCCCCCCCCCCTCTTCTCTCTCGGGGTCTTCTCTTCTTTCTGTCGTCATTTGTGAAGGCCGTCACGCACGCTCTGTGTCACGCCGCGCCGCCGTCGCCGGACTGTGGACTGGACATGGGCTGGACATCAGACCGGCGCGGCGCGGTGCGGCGCGGCGGCGCAGTCGCACGTCCGCCGCAAGGGTCCGTGCGTGCCTGCCTGGACGCATGCTGCCGCAGGCCTGGCAGTACAGTGCGTGCAAGCGTGTTGCGCGCGTGCATTCACCCACCACCACTGCAAGACTTACTGCACGCCTCCCGAGGGAGCTAGGCAAAGGGCTTTATTCATAGGATCAGGACAAATCAGAAAAAGAATCAAAAATTCAGAAATCAAAAATAAATATGGTGTACGTTTGTTTTTGTAGTAAAGGTCCCCTGTGGAACTAGGGTCCCGTGCCTGAAGTCCTACTACGAGTCCCATCCCCTAGCCCCGTACGCTGTTTTAAGATACAGTACCGCATGCGCCCGCGCGGGCGGATTGCCTATTGGCGCGGTCTCCAGGCGCCATGGTGCGCGACACGGTGTGCAAGCCAAGCCCGCCTACCCTGCATTCCCCCGCGCTGCGACCTGCGACACAATGGCGTTGGCTTTCTGTTGATCTTGTACTGACGTCCTCTGTTCCCCTGTTGCAGGTATGAGCTGTCGCAGGACCTGCAGGACAAGCGCATCGAGATGCTGGAGCGCAAGTACGGCGGCGTCAAGGCGCGCGTCGCGGCGCTCACGATCCAGCGCGCCTTCCGGAGGTACACGCTGCTCAAGAAGTTCGCCGCCATCACGGCCATGGCCAAGGCGGAGAAGCGGCTGAGCCGGCGCCTGCAGGCCAACGGCGACCTCTGCGACAACGGCGCCGCGCCCCTCAGCCCCGTAGCGGCGCCCGCCCCCGGCGGCGGCCCCGTCGCCGCCGCCGTCGCCGCCGCCGCGGCCCCGGCCCCCGGCTCGTCGCCGGCGTCCCCGATGGGCGTCGTGCCGGGCCAGGCGGCCGGCCCCCGGATGGCGCCCGCCAGGTCGCTGTCCATGCGCGAGCGCCGCCTGCCCCGCAGCCAGTCCAGCTGCTGCGGCGGCGAGCACTACGACCACTACGCCCCCAGCTACGGGCAGGGCCAGCCCCCCGGCGGCCCCCAGTGCACGCCGTCATGCGGGCCCCCCTGCGGACCGCCGTGCGGACCCCCCTGCGGACAGCCCTGCGCCTCCGAGAACACGTACTGGGACTCCACGTCGGCGCACTTCTACTCGCCCCACGAGTCCTACTCGGAGCACGAGGTAGGCCCCCTCTCAGTTTACATGTCTCAATATATGTCTCTTTAGTTAGTTTTCATTATAATTATGTTTCGTTCGCTTTTGAGATAGCTGCAAGCCGAAACAGTGACGTTTAGTTTTGGAGTAGTTGTTTTTAGCTGATGTGCAGTCACATTGTGTTGATGATTCATAAAGTGTAGACGCAACTTTGGTATAGCTAAGTTTTTGTTAGCAAGTTTTTGTTCGCGGCGCTCACTCCGAACTGCGCTGTACTCGGCCGGCTTCGTGGCTGTCTCCGTCTCTCTGTCTCCGTCTCTCTGTCTCCATCTCTCTGTCTCCATCTCTCTGTCTCCGTCTCTCTGTCTCCATCTCTCTGTCTCCGTCTCTCTGTCCCCGTCTCTCTGTCTCTCTGTCTCCGTCTCTCTCTCTCTCTCTCTCTCTCTCTCTCTCTCTCTCTCTCTCTATTATGTTGTCTAACGCTCGCAGTGGTTTGTGTATTCTTTTAGATGAGCTCTTCGATGGTTCCCGCTCGCGGGCTTATGCCCCTGCCCCTGTCTCACGGGTCCCCCCACGGGTCCCACAGCTCCATGGGCCACGGGGACCCTTGGTCGTCCCTGAGCCCTTGCCCGTGCCCCGGCCCCTGCCACTGCCCATGCCCCTCCTGCCCCAGCCCGAACCCTTCCCCGAACTCCTCGCCCGCGGGCAGCGTGGCGAGCGTGGCCAGCTATCAGCGCCATCTCCGCAAGGTGCAGTAGCCTAGCAGTAGTGTTAAATGCCTCTAAACCACGACGGTCCGCGCGCTTCGGGAACATGAACGCTGTATCCTAATCCGCCCATGACTTGCTTGTGTTTAGGGGTGGATTTGGGACGGCATCGAATTTCCGAAGCGCGCGTTTCGTCCCTGTCTTTGATGTCTGTGCCTAGACTAGTTCTAATTAGCATCTCTTATTTTGCTTCTAGTAGTCGCTCATGTTGGCGCTCCTGACGCCCTTATTGACGTGCTCTCTCTTCTGCCCCCTCAGATGCCCCCCGACGTACCGAAGCGCACCTCGTCCATCACCCCGCTGCCCGGCCACGGGAGGACTTCCCTCCAGGGTCGCCTGGGCGGCGGCCTCGGCGCTGGGGACAGTGGCAGCGTCACGTCGGTGCACTCGTCGGGCTCGGACAGCAGCAGCCACACCGCCACGGCCTGCGACCCTCACTGCGACCCGCACTGCGACCCGCAGGCCAGGGCCGCCTCGCCCTGGAAGAAGCAGCAGGAGTGCGCCATGGTCACGAGCCCGCCCGCCGGCCACCCCGGCGTGCACCCGGCGCAGCTGGCGCAGCTGCAGCTGCAGGCGCAGGCCATGCAGGGCCAGGTGCAGGGTCTGCAGCAGGCGCAGCAGGCGCAGGCCTACAGCAACCACTTGCAGGAGCCTCAGCATGTCATGTACAAGGTACGGTCTTCATCATCTCTATTGCTAGAGTCCAATTTCTGAACCTTCAGTCCTAACGGTCTTCTTTTTACCTCTACAGGTTTCAGAGACTGTGCGGAAGAGGCAGTACCGTGTTGGCTTGAATTTGTTTAACAAGAAACCAGAGCGAGGAATCAGCTACCTCATCAGAAGAGGCTTCTTAGAAAATTCTCCTCAAGGAGTAGCAAGATTTCTTATTTCTCGTAAAGGCTTGAGCAAGCAGATGATTGGAGAATACCTAGGAAATTTACAAAGTTCTTTCAATATGGCGGTGCTGGAATGCTTTGCAGAGGAATTAGATTTATGTGGAATGGCTGTGGATGTTGGTCTCCGAAAATTCCAGTCTCATTTCAGAATGCCAGGAGAGGCACAGAAGATTGAAAGATTGATGGAAGTATTTTCTGCAAGATACTGTCGATGCAATCAAGATGTAGTTGCTCGATTAAGATCACCTGATACAGTTTTTGTCCTGTCCTTTGCCATCATCATGCTCAATACTGACCTCCATACTCCAAACATTAAGCCCGAAAGACGAATGAAATTAGAGGACTTCATCAAAAATTTGAGAGGTAACATCACATTTTCAGGAAATTTTCACATGATTTTGGAATTCTATTTGTGTTATTCTGCTGTAATCTTACATCTACTTTAATATTTTACAGGCATTGATGACTGCCACGATATAGATAAAGATATGCTAGCTGGAACTTACGATCGAGTTAAAGCTAACGAATTTAAACCTGGTTCTGATCATGTCACTCAAGTAATGAAAGTTCAAAGTACTATCGTAGGGAAGAAACCCAATATGGCGTTGCCACATCGTCGATTAGTATGCTATTGTCGCTTGTATGAAGTGCCAGATGCTTACAAGAAAGAGCGACCAGGAGTTCATCAAAGAGAGGTTTTCCTCTTTAATGACTTGCTTGTAATCACTAAAATTCTTTCTAAAAAGAAAAACTCTGTAACCTATACATTCCGTCAAAGTTTTCCACTTTGTGGTATGATGGTGACTTTATTTGATGTGCCATGTAAGTGAGATTATCTTTTTAATTATTACACTGTTTAATTTATTTTTACAGTAAGTGCGACTTACATATGTTTTTTTAACCTGACCTTATGTTATGTGTGTGTTTTTTTGTTTTTTTTAGACTATCCATTTGGAATTAGATTGTCTCAGAGAGTTGATGGTAAGGTGCTGGTCACCTTCAACGCTCGCAATGAGCATGACCGTTGCAAGTTTGCAGAGGACCTTAGAGAGTCTGTCTGTGAAATGGATGAGATGGAAAATCTTCGCATTGAAGCTGAGCTGGAGAGACAGAAGAGCAGTCATGCTGTGCGGGCTGCAAGGTCAGGTGCTGCTGGCAGCACCACTGGAGGAAGTGTCAGTACGAACTCAGATAATAGAGATTCGGGTGTTGCCGATGTAGAAGGCGTGTATACATGTGGAACTCAAGAAAATTGTGTGAGAGGAGAAGCCGAGGCATGTAGCATGGAGAGAGAGCGACTTGTTTCAACTGATGTTTCTCTCAAGCGTTCTGCTCTAAGCAATTCTCTTCTAGATATCCACGAGCAATGTGAGTTGAAGTCATATTATGTTTCCTACCTATAGTTAAATCTTGAATTTCCCAACAAAACAATATGTCTGAACTTTTTCCCTTTTCTTTTTAGTTGCAGGGGAAAAACCTCAGCGCAGAGGCAGTGTTGGGTCTCTGGATAGTGGAATGTCCATCTCATTTCAATCAACATCGGCTAGTACGGTGAGCAGAGACTCTTCTCCGCAAAATGTGCAACCATCTCCAGGTGCCATAGCTAAGGGAGCAGGAAAAGTGGTTTGCCATGTCCAAAATCATCCTCACCAAATGCAGCAACCACTCAACCACGTGCTGCACCCTACACACCCAGGCATCATGGGACACCCCAGCCACCCTGTACACCCTGGACAACCATCTCTTTTGGGTGGGCTCTTTGCTAAGCGGGAAAGAAAGGTTATGCGTGATGAGAATGGCCCATATAGTCGTAGTACTGAAGTCTAGTCCACTATGGCCTTTGGCCTGTGTAATTTCTAGTCCTGATCTGGCCAGTGATAATGACCAAGATCTCTAGCAGCTGCATTTGACATTTGAATGATGTTTAGGAGAGCGGGAGAGTACTTTCCTTTCCAACAACAAGAGTTTTAAAGTAAATTTTCAACATAAATTGTTTCTCTTTCTTGCAGTTTCTTGATCATTATGTCATTCAGTTGTCAAACTGCTGAGAAGTTTGTGGGTCTTAGTTCTATTTTTAGTAAGGATGATTGAAAAGTTGTTGAGGCTGTGTACTGTGGTTGTTAAGTATGGCTGATAATTAATTTTATTCATTGTAATTTAGGGAGTCACAAACATTTTGTACCAAAGCTGCAGTTTCCATTATTTTTCTGCTTTATTTTAGGGTCCAATTCAAGTCCTATCAAAGCATGATAGTTTTTATCTAATCTTTGAAAAATAGGTGCCTTTTATCAACTACAGTTGCAGTTGCACCTACTTTATTTGCTCCAAAATGCCCTTCAAGCTCAAAATAAAACAAATAAGAAAATGCAAAAGTCAGAAGGGTAAAAATGAATGAATCATGAACGGTACTTGACTGACATGTAATTAATTTCAGTTCTCTCATACTGCCCTTCAGAAATGTACTGTTTAATTGTCAGCGTAACCATCAGACAGCTCCATAACTTATTTTAAAGTTTAAACAAAGGAAATAATCAACTTTAACTTTGCTAATTGAAGTAGATTTTTCTTCCTATTATGCATTTCTATAGATTTACTGTTGTTCTTCTTATGTAGTCAAACTTAAACTATCAAAACTATCTGCTGTTCTATGACCTTGATAGCAATTTTTCAGGCATGGAGTGAATTTTATACTCATATATTTTGCTTCAAAGTTGCATTGCCGAGTGTTTGTTATTTTTTTTTCTTTGGCTGTATTCTGTGTTTAAGTACTAGTCTTGTTTCTCATCTTCCAGTTATCTATTTTTGGTTTGAGTGGTGGATCATTTCTTTCTTTGATTTGCATAAGCTTTGAAAGTTATGTTCAGTGTGCTCTCTAGTTATAAGAAATGCAAAACTCTCTGCTAACGTGATTGGAAAACATTAACTACTTTCAGAAATTATGGTTTGAAACACACCAGTGTTTCCGCTTAGCAGAGTCTATTGCATTCAATTATATTCTTTCTATTTTATGTTCATACCACATCTATGCTATTGTATATAGAGAGAGTGTTTAAAATTTGAAGTAAGATTATTCCAAGAGTTTTGTAATGTGCTGTCTGTGCACTTGTAAGTTTAGATTGTTTTAATACTAATCTGTATATACTGTATAATCACATAGCAATATTTAAAGTTTTGTATATCTTTTGTAACTTGTATGTCCTTGTACACATTTTAGAATTAATTTGTTGTTAAAAACAATCATGTTCATGTTAAGTGAGGGTGTCATCCATCTGTGTTATTTTAAAAATTGGAGCCAAAGTTTTACTTTCTATTGTTTTTTTTTTTTTTTAATTGTTTTAGGGTGGTTTTATTTCCCCAATTACTCAGCAATATTGAAGAGGATTAAATTTTGAAAGCGGTTGTTATATAACTATTGTGTACAACAATTAAATAACTTAAATAATCATTCTTCATTGGATTATTATTCATTTGTAAATATGTGTCTATTGTGTACAGTTTATTAATGAGCAGGCAATTGTTACCTAGATAATAAATATACCTTACCACAACAGAAAATACTGATTGGATTTCATTTACTTCATCCCTTAGGATCATAAAACATCTGATTTTCTACTAGAATTAGAAGTTAGGGCTGTAACCTGGGAAAGTTGACAACTAGCACCGATCTATGATGTACGTTTAAGAGAGCGGGGCCGAGAACAGGGCCAGCACCCGCTGGGGGTTCTCCAGCACGAACTGCGGTAGCAGGTCGGCGGGGTAGTCGGTCTGTAACAGCGACTCACAGTCAGGCTTGTCAGCTTAAGGAACTTAACATCTTAACATCGTAACATAATTAACAGTTGCATTTTCATTGTATTTAGCACTATGGCCATGATTTTTAATTATGAATGCGTTTAAATTTGTAAAAAAAAAAAAAGCCGACCGCGTTTAGAAAGATTTGCCTTCGCTTCAGTTCGATGGAAAGCAGATATCCGTGGTTTCGCCGGATCTTACCACAACTTTCAAGGAAACCATCAACCATGATTCTGTCGATCGTTGTAGCGATCCCGGATGTTTTGGTCGTCATTTTAGCGAACAAAAAGACATTCAAATGTAAAACCATAGTCATACTATCAAATATGATGCAAAATGCACGTGTTAATATGTTATTATGTTAAGATGTTAAGATCCTTAAGCTGATAAAGCCTCAAACACTGGCACATCCCGGTAGAGAGAGAGCTCTGCAGTGCAGAGCCAGTCCAGAACCTCTAGTTTCCCGCTCCTGGACGAACGAGGTAGCCGACGTTTACACCGACGAGGCGGAGAGCGGTTGGCGCTCAGGGCGGGCCGCCGGCGCCGCTCGGCTGCCCGGCGGGTCGGCCTACCCAGCGCGTTGCAGGCGCTCTCAGTCGGCTGGCACCCGCGGCAGGACACGACCCTCTTTCGGTGCAGCTAGATTGTCCGAACTATTTTTTTTCCCCGACCCTGGCGATTTTTCCAAAATCCCCAAAAGTGCTGTCCGACCTAGGTTTTGTCCGACCTCATCGATATGCTGAAATTTTGGATAATGTGGCTCCTGCAGTTATACTTTACCGCACGTTTGGTTTTCCTACC